GGGCTCAATTTTCTCGACGAATTAAAAAAAAATGTTGATGCAGCCATTAAGCAAGAAACACGTAAAATATTTTTAGCGTGAATTTAAAAAGAATAACTTCTTTTCTTCTCAATTTCAATTTCCAGATTTCTCTGAATATCATGAATCAAACGGATTAATCCATCACGTGCTCATCAATGAATCGAGAACAAGTGTTCCACTGAGGTAATCGGTGAAGAGTCACGGTAAGTAGATAAAGGTGGAAATGAAAACGAGACAAAGGTGATAATTTCTCTCGTTCAATGACGAATAAATAAAAGGAAAAATAATGAATAATGTATGGTCACATCCTGACGCACATTGATTACGATGAATCATACGAAATTATTATGAAACACAATATTTATTATTGAGTGAATTAATGCGGACGAAGAATGACAAACTCACGAATATCAGCAGCCAGACGATGGAAATTGATATGTCTGTGATAAGTAGACAGCAGAAGGACATTCTTTTATTATATTACTCTGACAGTTAATATTTTGATTGTACTGGGTGGAAAATGCCTAACTGTTGTCATGATTACTACTGCAAGTACAAAGCGAGTAATGGCATCACTTGCGGAGCACCTACTGCCAGAAGGGCGGAATTAAAAGTGCATAAATTAAAAGTTATTGCGAGCGGTAAATAGTGGAAATACCGTGGGCTCTTTACATAATCGGTGCAGATGTTTTCAATGTCGATTGGGATTATGGTATTGTTACATTACATGAAAGGATAATGTAGAGTTGTCGGAAAATGATCTCATGGGTCTGATGGTTTCTTCCGATTTTACTCGCAATTATTCAACAGAGAACGGTAACTGGTACATAAAATTGAAGGTCGTATGTACATACCACTGTTCACCATGATTTTAAATATTTGTCAGAAAGTATAGCGGAACGATCTTAAGGACGCGTTTCTGTGGTTCTTCAGGGGTTTCATCGGATTCGAGGGGGTGAAGATAAATCAGATGTTTCGCTTTATTTTGGATTAAAAATCTCTTCGGAATAGAGACAATTTTCAATCAACTTCCGGGCATGGAGCACTTCATACCTCGGGAAAAATAGGTGATTTAAGTAGTAGAGTTCTTCGTTTGAATTCTTTTTCTTACTTTCAACAATTAGGTTTTACTAATTAATAAACTTGTTCAACTACTTTATAGAATATAATATAATACAATTATTGAGGTACGCCTTATCAACATATCATCCACGAATTTTTGAGTGTTCAATTTCCCAATGAGTCCCAAATAATTAAATAAAATCTGCGTGCGTAGTTAGTATAATTGAATATTGGATTATGGACAGGAATGAGTGAATAATAAAAGTAATTAGGCTTAGACGTTAATTTTTATTAAACGCACTCAGAAGGTATATCTTTCTCCTATGACTTCTGCAACTCTACTGACTCATAGCGACCAAAGTTTTCATGCTCTGGACCCATTTTACAAAAGGCCGTTGTTCATTCATCTGTCTCTATTTCCGTTTATATAAAGTGTTCTCCTTATCCTGACGCTGTTCTAAGAAAAATTATAAAATAATAATATGAGCCAAAACAGCTATGGGGTAACTATTAATTTTTGTCCACCCATACCAAGTGCTTTCAATATTGACTCGTTGGAACCATGTCTCTAGAACTTCTTCACGCAAGAATTTCAATAATCAATGTTCCTTGTAGAAAATCTTCACCGTAACAAAAAAAATGTTTTGTGCCATTTCGCTAATAAATAATTCATTATAATAATTTATCGAGTAGTATTTTACTATTTT